GCTGACGCTAAGCGCAACAGTAATGTAAATCAAGATACTGGTGCTGCTGCAGCCGCCGCCACTGCCAAAGCAGCAGCAGCTGACGAGGAAGACAATGTAATCTTTGAACAGTTTATATCTGAACAGACGTATGTTCACGAGGAGCCGTATGACAGCAACAGCGAGAAGAAAAGTGGGGAAGAGGACAATTACAGCAGCAATAAAGATAGCAACGACGACAGCAAGAGCAACGAGGACATTACTAAAAAGGACAGTAGTGATGATGACAGCAGCAGCAAGGATACAGTAGATGAGGAAATGCCCCTCGTGGAGACAATTCAGGTGGAGACGGTGCATGATGATGACGAGGAGGAGGACGAAGATGAGGATGAGGACGAGGACGAGGATGAGATGCCCTTGACTCTTCGGAGGACATCGACTCGAATCAAGGAACGCCAAGCAGCTGCAGCAAAAGAAAGGAAGAGAGCTTTTTTGTTGAGAGAAAGAGCTCCTTTGAACAAGAAATTTCTGATTGATGAAGCAACAGAGCTTGGAACTCAAATAAGAAGAGCAGCAAAGAAAGAAGGGAAGCTTGATAAGCTTGAACGTCTTGCCAGTCGTGTACTTGAGAGAAAAGGAGGAAGAATCCAAAGCGGCTATGCGCTGCGGAATAGGAACCCCGGGAGACGTTCTTCCTTGCCCACAAGAAGCACAGAGACAAAGAAGAGGAGTGAAGAAGCAAAGAAAGTGCAGGAGAAACCAAAGGCACAGGCACAGGAGAAACCAAAGGCACCGGAGGAGGAAACAGCGGAAGCGACTCCAACCAAGAGCAAAAGAAGAAGAGTAGATTCAAGGCCAACTTCAGTGAACTGTATTAAGGATCGGACTGTTCGGGCTAAGTTTGAAGTAGCGGCAAGGCATCTTAGCGAATTGCAGCATTGCAGCACATGGAGAACAGGATCGATCGTTTCAAGAAGCCCAAATCACAGCACTTCATGTTTACATATGATGAGATGGTGCAGAAACCCCACTGTGCKGATTACAGCAGAATCAGAAGACCTGATGGGCCTTCTTTTATGTTCCTCTACCCAGAAGATTGTAAATCGAAAGATTTGGGTCAACGACTAATCAAAATTGGAAAAGAAATGATGAAAAAGAACGGAGAAGGTTATCACTGTACTAACGATCAAAAGGAATATTATGATCTAGTGTTTGGTTTAAAGGAAAAGAAGTCGAAGCGTTAGTTTATACAAAGTAATTATTTTAATCAGTTGATTTATTTATGATCTGTTTCTATTATTGTTGCACACAGCAGCAAGCATCTTCAAGCCGTAGCTGATGCTGCTAGTATCACTTGCGAGGGACAGTAGCGACATGAACAGTGACGAWATGCGTCCTTGAAGGTGACAGCTTAACTCAATAAGCAATCATGATGGCAGCTAGCACTGCTACCGACGGGCAATGAAATCAGCAATGCGTTTGGGTTGCTTGGGCATGATTGCTTGTCACAACAAGCCAAGAGCTACAACTCTTGTTGTTGTTCTCCATTTGAAACAAAGGAGCGGATCAAAGGCCYGATTCTATTGTATTCATGTAGYGAAAACTTGAAAATCAGCCTCTCTAGACCAGAACCAGCAAAATCTCCAGTGATCCTCATCCTTCCAAACAAATGGTTTCCGTTCGCACTAGCAACTCTTCTGAAGTCGAAACTGCATGTTGTTGTSGCTTTCAAGTCAATCGTAAACAACGGCTCTTGTGGCATTGGATCCGTACTGAAAATCCAATAGCTCAATCCTTGGCCATCAAATATTCTTAAGATACTTTCTTCATCCACACAAAGAAAAGTTTCATCAGCAAAACTTGTAGGTCTCTCTCCATCCAAAAGATCTCGAAAACACATCGCACAATAAAATGTCTTCACGTTCGCAAAGGGCATGATTGGAGGCTTTCTTTTCGTGTTGAAAGTGGAGGAAATTATGGCGCTCTAGCTTTGGGATGAAAGTTACAACTGAAAAACCAAAAACAAATAGTGTGAAAATTTTGATTCAATTCAAAACTTGAGGAGTTGGCGGGTCTGCTGCCAGCCAAAATTTGACTTGTTCAAATGCCACACTTACTCGATTGAGATTATATGTTTCTCCATCAGATATCAACCATAATTTGAGAATCGTAGAAAAGAAAGCAAACAACAATATGAATACGAGTACTAATTCAATCCCAGAATTTGTTGACATTGGAAATGGCAATATCAAGATTGTCTTGAGCAACTTCACTGGTGAACTCATTGCAAGAGATATTATTGGGTTGACGAGATATGCGAATTGTCCTGTTCCTTCTACTAACAAGCAGCCAGCCGAGTCCAATGGATCCAGAGGTCCTCCCCTGTTTGGCGTTGCTTCTGTTCACCATGGTTCCAATGGATCCACAAAGAACAATGCGGAAGGAGATAAAGAAAGAAATGTATCCTCGCAGTCAGTTTGTAAAGAGGGAATCGATCGTCCGGATCAAGAGGATGACAGCAATTCAGTCAATTTAATGGAAGACAGTACTACTAGTGATGAAGTTTCCGGCGGCAAGGACGATAGCACTCTTCCTGAGTTGGAGGAAACTGCTCAGGGTCTSAATGTATCGGTTGCAGATGACGATGACATTGAGTACGAGCCAGAGTTGTCCCAGCAGGTCAGTTATTGGAAGTATTAAAAGCAGTGCACCCATAGCGTACATTTCTTTAAAGCTTGTACTATTTAGTTGTCAATTGATTCCGCAAACAATCTTCTAATTGGTGTAGTCTGTAGTGTATGTATCAGTCAGGAGGTGCGCCGAGTGTAAATGAGGGAGAAGGCAGTATCAATTTTTCACGGAGTTGTACGACTAAATGATGGCAATTTTGAAATTTTTGAAGTACCGCTATGAACTCAAAAATTGGTACGTAGAAAACAAGTAGGACTGCTAGTATCACTTTTTTCATTCAGAATAAATTCTTTTTTCCATTTATAATGTGAGAGCATATCACATGCCCATGAAAATGGAACAATCAACCAAATAGCAGGTTCCTGTCA